ATATCATACATTTCAGTCACAATTTTCAGCCATCAATCTTGTGATGGTGGATCTGCCTTGTGCCATCTCTTCGTGATAGCCTTCTTGCAAGCTGCTAGCAAGATCTTCAGTAAATACCTGTCTTCTCTTAACACAGTGTCTGTTGTCAGATTACCTAAGTAGAGAAAGATAAATGACTTTGGTATATCATAGCCCAGAATTTGGACTATAACCATATGGACATTTCCCCAAAACTGTACAATTTCCGGACATAGCCAAAATACATGGGAGTGGTTTACATTTACTGCCCCACATTTCCTCCAACATGGCTGGACAATAGACAGACATTTGTTTGTAATTTGGGGAGTAATAAAGAATCTGATTACATTCTTCCAACAGTGTTCTCTCCAAATACGCGAGGATGTTGAAGACTGTTGTGTCCTCCAGATATTCAACCATTCATCCTCTGTAATATTCACACCAAGTTCTTTTTCCCATTTCAGTTTTACATAAAAAGTTGTATTTTCAAATTTTTCCATCAGATGTTGATAGATAGTCGATATGATTCTATATTTCTTTGAGTTGTAAGCTCCTATTATGGTTCTAATTATTCCATTTTTATCCAAGTTAATTTTGTGCTTTATTTCTCTGTCGAAAAAGTCCCTTAATTGCAGATATCTGAAGTGATCCTGGTTATTTAGTGAGTATTTGTCTTTCAGCTCCTGGAAACTCACAATGCTCCCGTCTTTAATGACTGTGCATATTGCTGTTATTCCTTGTGAAATCCATTGTTTAAACCTCAGATCAAGAGTACCCGGGATAAAATGTCTATCATAGGCTATCCATCGTAGAAGCCTGAGCTCTTCTTCTAATCTGTATTTTCTTATCAGTTTAAACCACATCTCTAATGTAAATCGGGTGACAACATCCATCTGGTCAAGAAAATCTTTTGCTATATTTCTGTCTCCGATAAGGCTTTGAATATCCCTTCCTTCTATATATCGTTCTAGGTTTTTCCATTTAGCTTCATAGTCATTGGTACACCAATAAATGACTGGTCTAATTTGAGCTGCATGAAAATATGCCCTAAGATTTGGTAATGACATGCCCCCTTTATGTTTTCCAATCTGTAATGTTTCGTATTTGACTCTTGGCCTTTGACCATTCCATATATTGAGATAACTTTATCCCAGGTTCGAAATTGTTTCTCAGGGATCTCAATTGGTAGTGACTGAAAGAGATAGAGGAGTCTTGAAAGTATGCTCATTTTTATAGTGTCTATCCGTGAACTGAAATCTAGTGGAAGAACAGCCCACCTCTCCAAATCATTCCTAATATCCTGATCCACTTTATTATAGTTGGCTTTATATAGGTCATCAATACTTTTTGTTATAGTAACCCCAAGATATGTCATTCTTTTAGAACTCCAATTTAAGTTAAGTGTTCGTTGTATAGTTTCGGTTGGTTTGTAGTTCAGTGTTAAAATCTCTGTTTTTGACAAGTTCAATTTATATCCAGAGTAAGAGCCAAACGTCTCAAGTTGGTTGATTAATATAGGGAGGCATGTGTCAGGGTCCTCTAAATAGCAGATCACGTCATCTGCAAAAAGTCCAATGACATGTTCTTCGTTTCCGACCTTTATCCCTTTAAGGTCTTTATTCTGCCTAATTGCTTGTGCCAGAGGTTCTATAAAAATTGCAAATAGAGTCGGTGAAAGACAACATGCCTGCCTGGTAGACCGTTCTAATGCTATACTATCAGTCAGACTGCCATTTATTTTTATCCTTGCTGTTGGGTTTTGGTAAAGTGTTTTAACACATTGAGTAGCTTTTTCATTTAGTCCAAATTTCTCAAGTACCTGATACAGAAATGTCCAGTTTACACTATCAAATGCCTTTTCTGCGTCAAGACTTATTAGGGCTGCATTGATATTTTTATGGTTAATATGTTCAATTATATGTAGGGTTCTCCTTATGTTATCTTGGGTTTGGCGCCCCTTGATGAAGCCCGTCTGGTCTTCATCTATAATATCATTCATAAAGTGCTCATACCTTTTTGCAATAATCGAGGTATATAATTTATAGTCTATATTAAGAATTGATATAGGTCTGTAACCAGAGCAGGTATCAGTGTTCTTTCCCTTAGGAATCACTGTTATTACAGCCTCCTTCCAGGATGGTGGGAGTTCACCATGGGCAAGCGTATAGTTAAATGACGGCTCAAGTATTGGTAGAAGTAGTTCACTAAACGTTTTGTACCACTCCTCTGGTAAACCATCAGTGCCGGGGGATTTATTTATTTTCAGTCTACCCATAGCTTTCTCTATTTCTATTTTTGTAATGGGTGAAGTCAAAAGGTCATTCTGATCTTTCCCAATTACTGGTAGGTCCAGTGTCTCTAGAAAAGTTCTAATTTGGTCCTTGTCAGCGGATGGAGGTTGGCGATACAAATTTTGGTAATAGTTCCTAAAAATGGTTTCAATCTCATTAGGTTCATACACTATTTGATTTGTAACCATCCATCCATCCATCCATCCATTTTCCTCCGCTTATCCGGGGTCGGGTCGCGGTGGCAACAGGCCAAGCAGGCTGACCCAGACTTCCCTCTCACCGGCAACATGTTCCAGCTCATTCTGGGGGATCCCGAGGCGTTCCCAGGCCAGCTGGGAGATGTAATCCCTCCAGCGTGTCCTGGGTCTTCCCCGGGGTCTCTTCCCAGTTGGACGTGCCTGGAAAACCTCCAGTGGGAGGCGTCCAGGAGGCATCCTAATTAGATGCCCGAACCACCTCAGCTGACTCCTTTCGACGCGAAGGAGTAGCAGCTCGACTCCAAGTTTTCTTTTGATGACCGAGCTCCTTACCCTATCTCTAAGGCTGAGCCCGGCCATCCTACGGAGGAAGCTCATTTCGGCCGCTTGTAACCGCGACCTTGTCCTTTCGGTCACGACCCAGAGTTCGTGACCATAGGTGAGGGTAGGAACGTAGACCGAGTGGTAAATTGAGAGCTTTGCCTTCCGGCTCAGCTCCCTCTTCACCAAGATGGTCCGGTGCAGCGCCTGCTTTACTGCTGCAGCTGCACCGATCCGTCTGTCGATCTCCCGCTCCATCTTACCCTCACTCGTGAACAAGACCCCGAGATACTTGAAGTCCTTCGCTTGAGGTAGGCACTCCGTCCCCACCTGGAGGGAGCAATCCACCGGTTTCTGGCAGAGCACCATGGCCTCAGATTTGGAGGTGCTAACTCTCATCCCCGCCGCTTCACACTCGGCTGCAAACCGCCCCAGTGAATGCTGGAGGTCACGATCCGAGGAGGCTAACAGGACCACATCATCTGCAAACAGCAGAGAGGCGATCCCGAGACCCCCGAACCTGACGTTCTCCACCCCCAGGCTGCGCCTAGATATCCTGTCCATGAAAGTCACGAACAGCACCGGAGACAAAGGGCAGCCCTGGCGGAGGCCAACACCCACCGGGAACGTGTCTGACTTATTGCCGAGAATGCGGACACAGCTCCTACTGCAGTCGTACAGAGACCGGATCGCCCGTTGTAATGGGTCCGGCACCCCATACTCCCGCAGCACCCCCCACAAGAACCTCCGAGGGACCCGGTCGAAAGCCTTCTCCTAGTCCACAAAGCACATGTAGACTGGTTAGGCATGTAGACTGGTTGGGCATGTAGACTGGTTGATTTGTAACCGTATCCCTTATCTTATGGATTGTCCTTTCTGCCTGTTGTTTTTGCAGTATTTTTGCCAGTAGTTTATTTGCTTTTGGTCCCACCTCATAGTAAGTTTGTTTAAGAAATATTGTTTTCTTTTCTATCTCTGTAGTTAGTAGCTTATCTATGTTACCTCTAATTTCTTTAATTTTTGGTAGCAGTGTCGAGTCGCGGGTATTTTTATGCTGTTGTTCGATTTCAAGCAGTTTTTCCTTTTCCTTCTTGTACGTTTCTTCTTTAGCTCTCTTGATAGCTGCTGTCTTAGCAATAAGTTTCCCTCTCATAACTGCTTTAAGAGCATCCCACAAGATGGTAGGATTAACCTCTCCATTGTCATTTTCTTTTTGGTATGTTTCAATCTCTGTTTTGATCTCCTCAACAACCGATTTATAATTTAATATTCCAACATTTAACCTCCATAACGTTTTTTTGTCCTGTGGTTTTAGCTTAACATTAAGATAAACTGCACAGTGGTCCGACATGTATGCTGCTCCAATTTCACACTCCATAACTCTATACATGTCCTTTTTATTCATAAAAAAATAGTCAATTCTAGCATAACTTGTATTAGGTGCCGAGTAGTGTGTATAGTCCCTTTTAGTGGGATGCAACTCTCTCCAAATATCAACTATACCAAATTCTTTGAATAAAGTATTGATCGTTTTTGTGACATGATTGGAATTTTTCTTATTGTTTGTTGTGTCTAGATTACTATTCATGACAATACTAAAGTCACCTCCACATATTAATATTCCCTCCGTTTCGAGAATAATACTATCAAGTAGAGTTTTAAAGAAGGAATTTTCACTATTAGGTGGGGCGTAAACATTTACCAATGTCACCATTTCATTTTCCAACTTTCCTTTAACAATAATATATCTGCCTTCTTTATCGCTGATTTCTTTAATACATTCAAATTTCACTGAGTTAGATATGAGAACAGTCACACCTCTTCTACAACCCTGGTGAAATGAACTATAAAATGTATTTGCGTAGCCAAACCTCTTAAGCTTCTCATGTTCCTGCCTAGACAAGTGTGTCTCCTGTAGGTACAGTTGTGTGAAAAAGTGTTTGCCCCCTTCCTGATTTCTTATGTTTTTGCATGTTTGTCACACTTAAATGTTTCAGATCATCAAACAAATTTAAATATTAGACAAAGATAACACAAGTAAACACAAAATGCAGTTTTTAAATGAAGGTTTTTATTATTAAGGGGGGAAAAAAATCCAAACCTACATGGCCCTGTGTGAAAAAGTGATTTATAAAATGTTATAAAAGAGATTATCTTTTAAACGCAGGTCAAAATGAAGAGTCTGGTTGGGTATTGTGTGCTCATCTCAGTGTTTCTTTTGAGCTGCACGGGACAGGCTGAGGTAATACAAACTACATAATATCTCCTATCTCTTTTGTCTTAAATATGTTTCAGACAAGCAAGTCAATTCTCAAGCTTTGGTTTTGACGTCTGTATTTTGAAGTCTCACTATAAAACTATTTCTGTGACATTACTAGAAACACCGAGAGCGACTTTCGCCTCAAGGTACAGTGAATGTTATTCTCGCCTCACAATTTCATTACACTGCACACAGTTTGGAATGTACAAAAACCTGTATATTCAGATTTCATAATGTCCCTGCTCTTGTTTTTCTCTTGTGCTAACCTCAGGAACAGACTGCACACGGATTAAGGCTGTCTCACCACAAGCATCCAGTGGGATTTATGTAATCCAGCCTCCGAGAGTCAAGGCCCCGTTTAAAGTATAATAAAAGATTTCAAACCTGAGATGTAATGTACATAGCAAAGCTTGATTGTACTTGACCATGCCAAGCCCCACCCACTTAGTTACTGTTGTAATGCCTGTCCTTACGAATACTGAATCTTAAATTGAACAGCTCTTTTCTCTTGTGTCATTCAAAAAAAAAGAAAGAAAAAAACTGAAATCCTTTGCATGACGGAAATAAATAAACAGTGCTATGACAGGTTTTGGAAAGACAACAAATAGAGCATGCAAAGTCTTTTCCAAACCCCTGTAGAACACATAAAAACCTGCCACCTGTTTTTTTTCATTTTTAACATACTGCATGTTTACTGGACTAACCTGCTCAGGTGTTCTGTGAAATGCGGCAAGACGGAGGCTGGACGGTGTTTCAGAGGCGCAGCGGACGAGAGGTTTCCTTTAACAGGAAATGGGCAGCATATAAAAAGGGTTTTGGAAACTTGAAAGGTAAGTAAAGAATATAAAACTGGCTGGGTTTGTTCAGGGATGTGAGGATGAATCAAACTTGTGATGAACTGTAACACGCCTTAGGTATTACACAGGGAATGTACATATCCAAGAAAGGTCATAATTGAATGCAGAATAACATACAGGATTTGGGATTCAATTAGCTGTTATTAAGGTGAAACATTGCAAGAATAAACAGATGTCTTTTCCTTATTGACATCGGCCAGAAACAGCCCCTTTTGCCACATGTTCTCCTCCATAATGTTGTGAAGAGTCATAGATTAGATTACACTCTGAACTCAATATACACATTTTCTACCACACATGCATTTACTACTCCTAGACTAAAGCATTGTGTGAACTTCAGAAATTGCAATCTTGAAATTTCAAAACCCTGCATCCTGCAGCAATTACAACTCAAAGCAAAGTCGTATCTGAAAAAACCTGAATCCTGTTCTGGTGCTCTGCTGATTCCCTTAGAGGACCACTGGCTCGGTCTGATGAAGGTTTTCTCTCTGACCAAGAACAAGACCAAGAATTGGACCATGAGGGTCGAGCTGTGGGACCACGAAGATGCTACTGCTTTCGCCGAGTACAGAAACTTCAGGTTGGGCAGTGCAAAATCAGCTTTCAAACTGCATGTCGGGAAATACAGAGGAGATGCAGGTATTGCAGGCCTTTCGTATGGCTGCTTTTTTCTCATTGACCATCTTTCCCTTTGCTTTTTAGTGATACACAAATTTTAACCCATTTACTCTTCTTCCATTTATCCTGGTTGGAGTAGTCTTTTTGCCACGGTCATTTGAACCTTAGCATTGTGATAGACGTAAATAAAAGCTGCCCAGAAATGTGTTGTTGTTGTTGTTGTTGTTTGGTGTTGTTACCTTGGCAACTATATCACCTGGGGTACTTAGGGGTCCACCTTTAATCAGACCCCAGTCATATTGTTAGTGCTTATGGTTGTGGACATTTTCAACTTGTTACTTCCCACTATTTCCCCTTTGCCTTCGTTCACCATCTACTTTCAGCACAAACTCTGTCTAAGCTCTCTTTGAAGGGTTGGTCTACACATAATAAAATGCTATGGCAGCTTTAAAGTGAGTCAATATAACTTTTGAAAGAGGGAAATAACATAATTTCCTGTTTCAAAAGTGGAATTCAGAAGTAATCAAATGTACCCCAATCTACCCTGAGGGGTTTTACTTCTCCATCCTTACTTAGGTTGGTATGACCAGTAGCTTATGATGGCTAACGTTAACTCATTTTGGCAAACTTAAGTCTAACTGGCATTACTGAAAAGGTTCAGTCTCCTCTGTACTCATCTTGTAACTGCCACATGTGTAATGGGAAAATATGTCATAGTCTCATGTGAAGGTTTAAAGAATGTAAGTCCTAAAAGAGCAGACACCAAACTGTAGTTTCAGTAGATGACTTTAATTAGTTTAGTATCCAGGTGTCTTATCTGGTATCATTGTGCACTGTTTCTTTCTTCTTCGTATCTGTTATCTTGTGCACGGTTTCTTTCTTCTTCGTAAGACAGAGACACAGAGAGGCCTTGACTAACAGAGATCCTCTGCCTTTTATTGTGTTCTTTGTGTATTCTGGTTAGCTAAGCAGATAACAGGAAGCTGTCTGAGCACAAATGTCCATGCATTGTGACTGTTAGGTAGACCACTCTTACAGATCACTGCAATGTGTCTGTGAGACTGTTCTCTTTGCTTGCAAGCAAATAAATTGACTTTACAAACCTTGATCGTTCATCAAAACTCTGTTTACTTTATATTGATCGAAAACCTTCACTTTCTTCTCCCGACTAGTCATAAGAAATATTCCACAACACATGTTCCACACACACGTTGCATTTCAAAAGGCACCCACTAAATTCTAAACTTGCTTCAACGGTTTCCAACTTTGTCCACAGGTGATGCCATCCGTGGTGCCTATCCAGGCATTGACCAGAATGGCTTCGGCTTCAGCACCGTCGACCACGACAGTGACGGCTGCTCCCCATGCATCTTTGGTGACATTGCTCAAATGGATTGTACTTCTTCACATGGTGGCGGTTGGAGGTACAGCCGCTGCGGCTCTGCCGGCCTGAACGGAGACTGGCATCCTAGTGGTGAACACGTTGGTTGGGCGTCAGGCGTCCACTGGCAAACTTATGCGCCTTACTCCCTGAAGACCACCAGAATGTTGATCAAGTCTGCGTGAGAGGACCCAAACCACATTTAACTTCATACTGGCTTTTCTAGTCGCACATCAAGGCTGGTATTACATTTAAGCAAAATTACTCTTTTATATGTGCAATTCAGTTCTTTTTTTAAGATACCGAGCCTACTGTTCACACTCCCATGGTGTTTCTGCCTTTGCAGATGAATTGTTCTTGATGGTTTTTAAATTTCTTCATGTCAACACATCAGAACACGCAGTTGTTGAGAGGAAGACATGTTAACTGATCTATGACGTCATCATTGAGGTTTGACTGATTTCATTAATCATGACACACCTGAGTATGAATACATACATTAAAGATATTTTTGCAGAACCCCTGATTTGTGTATTTTTTTTAATTCCTGATAGAAAATCACAGTAATTGATTAACAATGAGTACACTTCATTACTACATGAGGACCTTTCTGTAAACAACGTGTGGCATCAATACCCTTATAAACTTCATATCAAAAGTTGACATCATGTAAAAATATTATTGTTACATGATGGAAATAATCATGGTTTCTGTTCTTTTGAGCCATAAAACACATTTATTTATCTTGAGGGAGAATTTCCTAAATATATGGCTGTTAAGGTAGAGATTAATGTTAAGGTATTTGTGTGCCAGAGCAGCTATGGGAGTTGCTTAAGTGTGTTAGACAACACAAAGAGGGGAGTTTTTGATCGAGACAACAATGACAGCTCCTAAAATTTAATTTTTTTTAGAAATAGATTGTTAGTCTAGTCTGAACATGGACTGCTGAAGGAAAAATGCAGCACTTGGTGGAAACACAGAGATAACATGTAAACTGAACGTGTGCTTGAATCCACATTCCTCTCCCCCAAGACACAAACATCTAGCCGCCATTTTGAGGACATATGTAGGACAATAGATCATTTATCATATTCCTAATAATGGGAGGTGGTGGGTGGAGGTTATGCGGCAGGTGGTGGGCCAGGGTCATTTCCCAGGCATCAATCAGATGGACATTCAGTCCTTTGAACATGGCTCTGAGCACCTTATCACGCTGCAGCGAGTACCAGTCGCTATTGCTAATTGTCTCATATAACATCAAAGCTTTGGGATTTGCTGTCCGGATGACGACCAGTGTTCCTGGAGCCGTGTCCAGCAGCTGCACCACCGCCGCCCTGCGGATGCCCAGTAGCCTCCTGATGTAGATCTCAATGGGGAAAGAGCTGAAGTGGGACCAGATGCCAAGGACTACGACAGTGTTGTTGTCTCATTTTAAGTCATTTAGTTCATTGGCAATGTAACGAAGCTCTCTATTTGGGACGGGGGGAAAACGGATAGGAGGACCGTGGCAGCGGTACGTCACCAAGATGGTGTTTTCATAGTCTAAGGCCATAAAAGGTCCAATTCTGTTTCAGTTGTGCAGGTCAAACTCCTTGAGACCTGAAAGTATAACAGGGGGAACACGTTAAGCTGCAGGGGGAACAAAATCAAACTATGCCAGAAATCCCTGTTGATTATACCTGGTAGTGTTGCATTGAGAAATTCAAACCACTGCCTGATGGTGGAGTCTCCATACATGTGGACCTTCTTGCCTTTCAGACACTGACTGATGGCAGAGGAGGTGTTGAATTGGCAAACTGTGGTCCCACCTAGTGCTCGCCACACACCCTGGTAGTAATAGCCAGAGGGTCCAGATGTCACAGTGCTGCTCTTCTCCTTGAGCTGACCTGAGGAAGTAAAATAATACGGGTGGGTTTATCCCGTAAAAAAACAAAACCAAGGTATAAAGTGACACTTGATACACTGCTAACAGGAAGAGCAACATTCATGAACTTTTAGCCTAGTGCTCCATGCTCCCAGCACACTTTCATTGTCTGTAGGACATTCGGTTTTGAATTATTGTTATTATAGTTAGCAGTGAAATCTTGATTTACCTTCCTTTTTTGGCAACAGTGACATTGGAAGGTCCTGCAGCCTGAATAAATACTTTCAGGTTAACACCACTGAAGAAAAAAGCACAAATAAAATATGTCTTAAACATACTACAACAACTCAAATAAAAGCAAAGGTGACCCACATTTGAAATTAAATATAATTAAAACTATAAAGATCCAGTACTAAAATGATCCATTTTGTGAGTTAAAGCTGCACTTATCAATATTTTCATAGAAGCAATGGTTCAATTAGTATGAGTAATCTGCAATAAGTCGCTTGCACTTATTAAGACACAGACAATTCCTACCTTAGTTCCCTCAGCTCTACGGAACATTGTAGCATCTTTCAGCTCATTGTTTTGGTTTGACGGTTTTGCAGGTAACAATTAACACAACTCCAAATAAATGTTAATGTTTCTCCATGGCTTCTAGATATGTAAATAGTCCAGTGTTTACTAACACTTTAGTCAAATCAACTTTATAAAGTGTTCATATGTCAACAGCGTGTTGTGCTGCCCCCAAGTGGCAGAAAAACAATAATGTGCGCATCTTTAAGTTTCTCAAAAGACCACATCCAAAATAAAATCCCGTTTGGCTTGTGTTCTGGTAGTTCCGCTAGTCGTTAGCCAAACACAACATCCAAAACAATGAAAGTGAGCTGCAAAGCAGCAACCAAGAGGTACGCAGCAGTTTGTGTACTGGTAGTTACGTTAACTGTAAGCCAAACACAACTCAAATCCCAACACTGTGGGCGCAGAGTAGCTGATACAAGGGGCCAGATAGGCAATCTTATTACAAGCGGTCCCTACTGGCCAGTTAAGAGTAGTGAGTCACTGGCAGTATAAAACAGGCAATAAAAGGTGTTTTGAGAAAGCATGCACCGCAACCATGAGAGGTCCAGGAGCATGCAGTCATAACTGGGCATCCAAGAGTTTATGCAGTTTGCTGCATCAGAATGCGAGATTAGCCGTGGAGAGATACAGAAGTGCACACTCACTCAAGGACAAACGGACTCATGCACAAACGCGATTAATCACTAGGTTCAATGTTGACGGCCTGTGGTCACAAACTTCTATGCCTGTCTTTGTCCCTCTACTCCTTCACCTTTTAAAGAGATTATCCTCCTTGATCATGAGGTTTCGTTTGGATCCTCCTTTAAAGTAGTTGATCCTGGCATCACAGCTCAGGTTCTTTGTCTTGTAGCAGAACCACGGCTCGCCTGTATGTCAGTGTAGTTACACAGCGGTTTACGGGTTGGCCGTAGGCAGACGTTGCAGATGGTAGTTTTAGAGCGTGAGCCTGAGCGGAACAGGCTCTTGAAGTAAATCTTGTCAGGCCTTTCGGTGGTCAGCCTGTTCAGCACTGTGACGGCCTCACCAGGGTGAACCAGCGTCACCTGATTGGAAAGAAAACCAGAGTTTATAATAGAAATCATACAATTCGTGACTAAAAATGACACATTGCTTTCGTCTGAAATGAAAAAGTCCCGTTGTTTATCAATAAATCTGTCACCGTTACCATTACAAGCTGCATATGTGCAGTATGAAAAGTGAAAGTTAACAGGCATAATAACAGTTAGCTCATGACATGAATATTGCATGACAGTCAGATAGTTGTCAGACCATGGTCGGAGCTGGCAGATGCTACAATATAATTGGCATGTCTGCATTTGAGGGCTGGACTTAGCAAAGGAACAATTCAATGTTCAGTTTGTACATTAAAAAAAAGAATGTTGGAAATACTTTCCCTTCTATTTTAAAATTCAACAAGCAATTTATTGTATTTTAGTATACTGAAAGCAGCAGAAAGACAGAATTGAGTACACCAATATTTGTTCATTTATCACAAATAATATAGTTTTTCCGATGTTCAATAAAATTATCGTATATCTCTTAATTTCCTTATGTCATGCAGCCACAAATTATTGGCAAAAATGTATTAAATATCCATAACTTTATGTTCATTGGTGTATATTCAACTGAAACTACGAATCGTTGTGTTTTTTTACCTTAGAATGAGTCCTAAATCTCTACGAAGGGAGCGGGTCCTCCTCACAGAGTAATGTTGCACCACCATGTTGCATAGAAGCCCTGAACTAACAAACCAAGCATTGGATCTACCGAGAGCCTTTTGCATTTTGCGTCATTTTTAGCATCACCTCAACCTGTGCGTCTCCTTCCCAGAGTAAAGAAAATACAGCAGAGTAGCTCCCATTCAGATGATCCACCACTTGCCCAGCCACACCTGCTTCTAGCTTCCGGTTGCGCAGACTGGCGAGTAGGAAGTCCCCCCCCAGACTTCTTGAGACGACCCTGGAAGTCGGAGGTTTGTATCATGACATCCAGCTGATCCCCAACATGCCACTGTCCCCCTTTCCTCCCTGGTAGAATGGTGAAGGTGCTGTTAGCTGGATCACTGGTCTGCTCCAGGGAAATAGGAGCTGGCAAAAGTGGAGTTTCAGGCCAAGCAGTGGAATTTAGTATGAGGCGTTCCTCCAGAGCATCCTTAGGGGACAGTGGCTGGAAGGTGCAGAAGCTGCGTTTCGGCATGATGATGGTGGATTTGACTTTAGGCTGAAACTGGTATAGGGGGTAGGGGTGGAGAGAGATGGTGTCAAAGATACATCAAACATATGCACTTGGAAAAAAATGAACAATATAAAGTAAAATAGCCAAGATTTGAATATTTTTGGGGAGGTTGCTAACAACTGTTAATAACATTGACCCATAGGAAAAGTTTCAAGATACTCTTGCTTTTTGTTTTACACAAGGTATGAAAGTCAATGTGAAATTCAAAGATTTATTTGTGTGTGTGTGCTTTCAAGGTTTTGTTCACTGAAATTCATGTTTTGGAATTTTCAATCAGAGATACAACTCTGACGAATGCAAAAAAAAAAAAGGCAGGAAATTAGAACCTGTTTGATTAGAACTTTGATGGGGCATCACTTGGCTTTTTAAAAACGATATACTTCTGACCCTTTTGTTAAGATGTATGTCTCAGTAAGAACGAATGGGAATCAGTGGGTTGTAACACATGGAGGTTTGGTCTAAAGTATATAATACTGCCAGCTTTGTCCTTTAACTACAGGAGCT